GAATCCTGCTAAATGAGAATCTTGATTGGGATGACAATGGATAAAATTGCGCATCACTATAAAATCAGTACCATTTCAACTTAAGCACTTTAAGCAAATTGGACACACTCAGCCCAACCTTCTACAAGTCTACCGGTCTTTTGTTATTAGCCACATGATATATAATGCCTCAGTTCTTACCTCTTGCAGTCTTGCAGCAAAAATAGAGATACAACATTTCCATAAAAATGCCTTACACATTATTGGAGTTGATGCAACCAATTTGAGTTGTTTCAATATTTGTTTTGACATGGAAGAATTACTAGACAAGACTTGTATTAATATCTTTAAAAAAATCTTTTCTGACACTTACCATCCGACTACCACTAAATTACTTTGCACCAATAGCAGAAACCCCAACAAATTCCTATTCGTTCTGAATACCGCAATTACTACTACTTATTATCAATCATTTATTTAAAAATACCTTTTTTTACCTATGCATTCTTCGTGATGGTGTAAGTGACCTCTACCTCCCACAAACATTGGCAGCTCCACTGCTTTTTCAACACATAAATGATCTTTTATTTTTCCTGCGTTTTTAGCTAACTTAAGCATATATGAAATAACTTATTAAGTTGGGCTTATGTTTGTTTTTATTTTATTAAAGTTAAAACGAATGCAAGCACTAAAGAAGACAATAACGTTACAAATTAATGCAAAAATTTATAACGAATCATGTTTATTGTTGGATATGAATCGCAGAAAAGCACCATTATCGAATGGCAATGAATCAAATCTTCGTATTATAATTGAGTAAATAAATTTTAAAATTTAAGCCTGTTTTTCAAATTTATATATAATAATTTAAATTGTCAATATTCATGTTTTTAATACATTTTATTTTCCTTAAACTAATGAAAAGTACGCCATTTTGAAACCAAAAAAATACAGTCGATTGTGCTAAAAAGAACTTTAAATAATTAAGAAGACGGAGTCTCAAAGGAAAATGTAGAGACTTCAAATAGGATAGCCGGATGAAAATCTATATTAATCCCATGCTCGACCCAGTTAGTTAACAAAGACAAAATCACGATGGTACGGTGTAAAAATGGCTAATTTTTGTTTTCCCAGTTCTTGTCCTGCACTGGCTAGCTGCTGTTTTGTCATCGCTGGCTAGCCACGGCTGGTCCATGAAAAATCTTTAGAGCAAAACGGAGCTTTGAAAACAGTAGCCGGTCCAGCGCGGCAGCCTACACAGGACAAGTGGGCGACCAATATATCCTTGCTGTCTGGGTTACTTATTGTGCATTTTAGATTATAATTTAATTTTCTACTCCTCTGTTTATTCTCTAATTGTAATAACATTTACAATTGTTAGAAATGGCAGAATTTTTTTCTGCTCAACCTACCAAATTAACTCAACCTCGCCCACAGAATAAATATATTGTCGCCCTATGCTTCCCACCCGAGAATAGATGCAGCATGTTATATTAAGACTTACGCTATCAGCAGTTTTAATAAAATAAAACCTGTATAAATTAATTACACTTAATTCAACATCCTTAGCATTAGCATAAAATTGAACCCCAAATTTACTTGTTTATTGCTTTGACAAGAATTGATGATACCCACGTTAATTTGTTTTTGATCGCCTTCAAAACAATACCTTTTCTCTGTGCATTGTTGCTAAGAAAACTAATTTAAAAATATCGCTAAGAAATAAGCTTTGTTCGCCATTGCGTTTTCTTTTCCTGATAATTATTGGTAAGAAAGAATTTAGAATTGATTTATATAATTTTATCTTTTTATGCTATGTTTTTTTTTTGTTATAATAGTTTTTAAAAATAATGGGTATTTTATTTACGATTGAATTATTTTTTGAACTAATTTTCTAGTTATTGAAATAACTTAAACATTAGGTCCAAAACGTTGGGTTCAAAAGATCTAAAACTTATTTTATGCACAATAAGAATTTTTTTTTCTTTTTCAATAGACTTTTGTAATTATTTAGCTAAATAACTCGTCTTCATGATGGTATAACTCCTTCAACATCTGTCAGTAGTACTCTTAATATTTCTCAAACGAAACAGCTACAAAAACTGATGTTTCTTTAACTTGTGACAATGGTTCCAATTATTATTCTGATCAATAAATTAGTCTCTGTTAAGAATTAGGACAAATTCCTGTAATGGATTAAAGAAAATATGACGAGTGCAATCAAGCATGTTAGATTAGAACCATCATTTTCTGTGCGTTAGGCAGAAATATTGTACAATGTGCCACGTACAATACTGACAGACGGACTCTCTGGAAAAGTTGTTATTGGAGCAAAGCCAGGAAGAATATTTACCCTACCTTTTGCTCTAGAAGAAAAACTTTTTGATTATGCCAGCAATAGAGCAAAGTTAGGGGTAGGTTTTGGAAAGTCACAGTTCCAGTATTATGCTGGCAAACCTGCCGCAAAGCAAAGATTAAACTTCAAGAAAGGATTTCCAAGCAACCAGTGGTATATTAGGGTTAAATGCCGGCATGGGCATAAATTTACTCTGCAACATTTGATGTTACAGCTTCAGTTCGACATCAGTGCATGGATAAAGATAAATTTTCAAAGTACTTTAGATTTTTGAATGACGTCATAGGGAATAATAATTTAGACGTTAGACCAGAATAGAATATGGATGAAATTGGTCTACAACTTGACGTAAAACCAAGAAAAGTGGTTGCACAAAAAGGTACAAAAAACCTTAATAGTTGAGTTAGTGGAAATCGAAAGTCAATCACTGTTATTGCATATGTGAATGCACAGGAAAAGTTCATTCCACCTCAGATTATAAAGAAAGCAAAGAACTCCACGCCAGTTTCAAATTTTCCATTTGCAAACTCTTCCTACCCCGGTAAGTCAATCATTGCACAAAGTGATCAATAGTTTCATCGCAACAATTTTTAAAATTATTTAAATATTTGTACTTTTATTGAGTAAATATTTTTATAAATGCTGGTGAAGGAGATAATGATGTGTTGGCATATCCTAAGGCAACTGCACAGGAAATGATAGCAAACAGAGAAGGTCAGCTTAAATACTTCGTTTCAACTTTTCTAGAAGCATTTATTTTGGTGCTTTGTGATAAGACCTAATGGTCTTATCACAAAGCACCAAGCATTTAATAAGTTGGTTCCATATTTCAAGCTTAACCGAAAACGTTTATACTGCGAGCAGGATTCGAACTCGCAACCTTTGTACTACGAGTTCCATGCGCTAATCACTGCGCCACGGCTGCTCAATATAAAAATTAAATTCATGCCTGGGGCAAAAAAAGACAATATTTGTCTTATCACTACGGTCCGTAAGCTGTAATGTGTTGAAACTTTATTTTAAGTACACATTTTACAATTATAATTAGGATTTATCTCAGAATCCAGATTCAGATCAGAATCTAGGGAGGGGCAAAAGTTCCCATTCAAAAAAATCTCCATGGTTTTATACTTTTCTAATTATAATAGTGAATCTTACTCACCTGTATATAACGTCACCCTAAGCGATTATAAGTTCTCTTTTAAAGTCACACAGTGGGCGACATTAAATCAACAAGGCGAGATTGAGTTAGAGTGGTTGAGAATCAGTGCTTTGACACACTGCTAAATTTATAATGGTACTTCCAACTCCTGTCATAAAATCTTCAGTTATAAAACTATGTAAAATTCTAAAGAATTCTACATAGTTTTATAACTGAAGGAATAAGCTATCTAATGATATATAGTACTGCTGTATAAGCCTAATATTTGTCATCTTTTTGTAAATAATGACAGACAAAAAAGCGTTTTTTTTATAAACGTTTTTTTTCATTAAGTTTCCTCCTCGGAATATTTAAGGCGATTTATAAATTTTTCTAATTCTCTTATTTGGAATTAACATGATTTTGTCTGCGTATTATATCAAAACCAAGGCTTTAGATACTATAATGTTTTTTCTTTAAGTTTTAATTATGTTTAAAGAAACATTTTTTTAATATATATTTTTTTAAACTTATTTATTACCACTAATTGTGAGTTTAAATAACAGCATTTTTGAGTCTTCAGATCGACAGCATTAACTTAATTCCAATTAAAATTTTTTGAAAAAGTGCCTCAAAGCACTTTTTCAAAAAATTTATTGCATTTAAAAATTTAAAGATTTAAAAATTTATTGAATTATAAAAAATTAATTTGCATTTTTTCTATAGCAGATTAAATAATCTGCTATAGAAAAAATGCAAACAAACAATCAGCAGCCGTATTCTCATGTCTCCGTTAAGCTTAACGGAGCATTTGTCTGAAATTTCATTACAATATATCTAAGTAAAGAAATGACGAAAATCTTATTTAAATTTTTTAAAATAAAACTAATACTTAAATAAAATATTTATTTTTAAAAATTTATATTTTTAGAGAACTTTTTTATTAATATCTTTAAAAAGAATTTTTTGACAAACGCTCCGTTAAGCTTAACGGAGAGATGAGAATCTGCAGAACAGATCATATTATTATAATGTTCATTTCACCTGACTATGATGTTCACCTAACTATGATGTTCATTTCACCTAAACAATCTATTTATTTTAAATCTTATTACCTTTTTTCACCTAACTATGATGTTCATTTCACATAACTATGATGTTCATTTCACCTAAACAATGTATTTATTTTAAATCTTATTACCTTTTTTTTTTCTTATTGACATTATTGACAAACTTTCGTAATTTTAAGAAGATTTAAAATTAAAAAAAGAATCTCCGGTACTGTTTTTTATGCCACATAAATTTTTTATTATATGCTACGGCAAAAAATACTATTTTAGTTTTTTTCGTCTTTTCATAATTCACAGACCTGATATTTTAACGGAAATATGTCGTAGTCACAAAGTACACATAGACGCAGTAATATTTCAAAGTATAATAGTTTTTTTTAAAAAAACCACTAACGTGCAATGACGTTTTTTATAAAGAGAAAAGTGTTTGTTTACTTTTTTTTTGTTGTTGTTCGTATGGTATGTTAGATTGGTTTTAAAAAAATTTTATATTGTTTTTGAATATGCTATATTTAAGAGTAAGTATATTTTAAGAGTATTGTTACTGTTAAAATAAGAGATTGTTACTGTTAAAAATATATAGAGAAGTATCAGAGTATATCTCTTATTAATACAGAGATATATCAGAGTATATCTATGTTCAAAGTCAAAAAAATTTTAACAAAAAATTAATATTTAAATTATAAATTCCAAGATTTTATGTCCTATTTTATGTTTTACAAATTTTTAATCTTACTTAAACCTTATATATGGTACTGAACGCAATGCTGCTTTAAATCGAATTAAAATTGAATCAGAATCAAATGAATCCCCCCCCCCTATATTGTTCATTCTGTCCAATAAGATGGACTGTTAAAGGAGATCAAGCATCATCAGCTATCAATTTCTAAACATATAATGGAAACATTGTTTAAGCCGCACTTTAGACCTTGAAACAAAGAGTAAAATAGTTGGTGTTAAAATACAGATGTCGAAGTTTAAGGTGTTTTTTGGGCTACAACTTAGTAGATTTTGAAGATGACTGATAATCTTAGCAAAACGCTCCAAAATAAGTCTCTTTTAGCTCGATACGCAGTGATGAATCATACGTGTCATTTTTCAATATTTTCACCTCCTTGGCTAAGTCATTGAATGTTGATGATCCCAAATTATATCGGAAGCAAAAAATGCCTCAATGATGTGAGATTGGAGAAAGCATTTAACAGGCTTGATTATAACAACATTTCCGAAAGCTACAATCGGGTATGCCTATGAGGAACATCTGAACGAGGTACGTACCTGTATAACATTATTTCAAACGCATTATTATTTGCAACATTAATCGATCAATATATCGTTAATCGCATGATCAATCGTTATTTATAAAGTACATTTATTTATGATGCTTCAGGTTACAGTTTTCTACGGCGAGGATTTAAACAAGGATCAACTAGACGCTCAACTTGCAACTTTTTGTTCCGCCTTTGTTAATAATTAGAAAACATCTCCTAACGTCAAGTAGTTGTTTGGATTACTTTAAAAGTTTATCGGAAGCACAACGGCCCTTTTTTAGCGAAGTGTGCACTATTACGCAATTAGTTCTTGTGATGCCGGCTACAAACAAATTGATTGAATGCAGGTTTTCGTCAATGTGTTGACTTAAGACTTATCTTCAAAGTACCATGACACAAAAATGATTGAACTTGAATAATTTTAAACTGTCATAAAGAACTACTCAATAACCTAAATCTGATTAACATTAGTGTCTTTATTCGAGGTAGTGAAAATGGTTTGAAAAGTTTTAGTCGATTTTAAAATAAACTGCAACACCTTAATTTTTTCTACATTACTATATTAAAAATGGTCTTTCTAATGCTCTAATGATACATTTTAAGGTATGTAAATTGTAAAAAAGTCATTATCAGGGGCTCTTCCCCCAGACCCACGTAACTTCAAATATCTTCTCCCGCCCCTGTCATATGTTAGTAAGTATGCTTTTTAATTCGTAAAAATATGATTCACTTGCATTATCTACATTAATAGTTTACTTTCATTTAAATCAGTCTTTGTCTCGCTCAAACTTGTTTTATTTAGATAATTTATTTTTTAGTTTTAATTATTTTTTATTTGTTATTGATTGTCTTTAAAAAACAATTTTAATTCTTTAATCGATATATTTTAATCTTAACCTTTAAAGAAAGTAAGTTAATTATTTAAAATTGACTAATAATAAATTTTAAATCTTTTATTGTCTAAATTAATCATGAAATAAAAAAAAGCTTTACGATGGAAACACTTACTACTACTCAACGCTATGAAAAAGAATTGAAAATAAACAATGCGGACTACAAGTACGTATGTACTTTCAAAGAAAATATTTTTCTATTACAAATTATCAAATTTGACATTTTTATTTACACCAAAGAGTTTGATTACACATTTGTACAAAAAAATGATGATAATTGGAGATTATTTAAGGACTTGAATAAAATATGGAATTTTTTATGTTTTAAAAGGGAACCAAAGCAAATCGGATTATTAGAACACGAGAATAGTATAACAATTGATTTGTATTGGTTGCTTGGAGAAGATGAAATTCCTTTAAAACTAACAGTAGTCCTCACGAAGGAAAATGAATATTCTGAAATTGTCATTCAAGAAATTGGAAAAACTTTATTTGAATTGAGAAAACAAAGCAGAGAGTTAAAAAATGAAAACTATAGTATGAAAAATGAAATTAGTCATATGAAAAATGAAAGTAGTAATATGAAAAATGAAATTACTAACATGAAAAATGAAATTATAGGTATAAAAAACTATTTTGCCTACTATAATGTTAATATTTATTGCAATATCAAACGTATCATTTATCAAGATATTTTTGCTGCGGAAAATAAAGGTATAATTAAAAAAGTCGGAAATCCTCCATACGATGATACAAGTTATGCGAGGAAGTCGGAGGGAAAAGAAATGATTCAATATGGTTCTGCTGATAAAAATAGTGAAAATGGAGCAAAAATAATTATTCCTGATGGCTACAATATATTATGGATAAGGATTCCAGGTAATAGAACGACTCTCATCAATGCTACTTTTAATGATGGAAATAGAGAAAATATTGGAAAATTGATTTTTGGACAGGAAAGTATCTCAATTTCTTCTGAAAGTATACCTAATGATGAATTATATAAGAATCATATTTGGGTTCCAATTCCTGTTAAAAGATCCGGCAATATTATTTTAGTATCTGGTGCAAATGCAAGTCCAACCTTTTATATTTCAGGCATTGCATTTGGTTTTAATATTTGGAACATTGCTTATAACTCTGCTCTTGCTTATATAAGTTGTATTAATGGAGGAAGTAATGTGAAGGCAAGTATTGTTTTAAGCAATGTTCTAGTTTGTTTTGTTAAGCTTGGAAGTATTGGAATTTTATATGTTCCAGTAATACCATCTAAATATGATAAACTTTTGTACTTTGTTTTATATAATGATAATAACGAAATACAAATTACCAAGCTAACAGTAAATGATAAAGTTGTTGATACTTTCTCATATAACTACGACAATCCTATTGCAAGGCGTTACAATGAAAAAACTTATTTTACATATTATGCAACTTTAATACCTAAAGAAGTAATACCAGAAGATTCTTTCTTTGTAAAAGTAGAGTTTGATATGACCAATCAAGTTTTTTTCAAGATTTATATAAGAGAATGCGGAACGCATGATAATATTCAACCTTCTAATATTCAATAATATATTTTCCTTCCTTGGATAAGTTGAAGAATTTAAAAAAACTTAAACTTCTTGATAATGATATTTAACAAATGGTTTTTATAACTGATTTTTAATTTTTTATAATTTATTTTTAATTTTTTGTATCAAATTTTGAATGCTTTGATTATTTATAGTGTTTTTTGTATTTTTTCATAAATTTCATTAATTTTCTAAAGAACTTTTTTTTTTTTTTTTTTTTTTTTTTGAGTATTCAGTAGAAAATACTAAAATAAGAATTGTAAAAATTGTTAAGTACTTCACCATGTATAAAGTTTTTTTTGATTGATTAAAGGTTTTTTTTTATAATATTTCTTTATATAAGATTAACTTAGACTAGTATTACTTAAAATTAGGGAATAACATATTGTTATTCGCTAATTTAAAATATAGTATATATAATTATACTTAATTTGATATTTAAATTGAATTGGTTTAAGCTAAAAGGTGTTCATTTAGGACATCCATGTTCTAGAAAAAATGAATGAAAAACTTTACAACTGATGAACAAAATATTATCTTTTCTAACAAAAACAACTATCGAGATCATAATTAGCTCTTATTAAACTAAAATTTGAAAATATAAAAAGTTATGACAAAGAAATATATATTTTTTAAACGCTTGACTGAGCTCGTTTTAGCATGAAATGGTAAAAAGTTCACTTTATTTTTTATTTAAGCATTATCTTAATTCTTTGGACAACATTTACGGCAATGTGTTATGTGTTAATCTAAGAATTGATATTTATTATTTGTTCACAATTTACCTATTATTATATTTTTGTTAACTATTTAACTTCAATATCATATTCAGTTGTGGGCCACGTCTTCCCATGATTTAACCATTGTATCACAATAAAATTATTTCAACTCCATTTGAATGTACGTGTCGAGTTTCATAACAACCTTTTTTTTTTTTTTTTGTATAAACTAAATGATTAGCTTTTTGTTCAGGTAAACATAAATTTAGTCTACAAAGAGTTTTTAAATAAAATATGTGCTTAACACGGCCTGAAAGTCCTGTTTGTTTAGTACAGAGACTGTAAGCAGAACTTTTTTGTGCCTTCTAACTTGCTTGTCCTTTTTAACTTGTTTGCTTTTTGTTATATAGAAATTGGCTTTATTTTTTGAAAAACCAATCTTTAAAGGTAAAACTCTTTTTTTATGGTTCTAATATGTTCATAAGTAAGATAAGAGTAGTCTCTAAATGGATAAAACAGTTCCAATTTTTAAAAAACATACATAAAATTTAACAATTCAGCGCCAACAATATTAAAGGCGGCATGTTTACTATGTCCCTGACATATTTCAGAGTACAAGCTATTTGCACTTATTAAGCATACAAACATTTTTCAGATAGTCTAACAAAATGAAGTACACGCTATCTTCTAGTTTTTTATACTGTGTATATAAAAGACATTTAATGACGGCTGATTAAGATAAAACGTTGCTTAAACAGGTATTCTAAATGTTTTGCATAAAGTCATAGCATGAAGCAAGAATGTGTTGTAATTTTTTGCACCCCTTGATATTTGATATTAATATTTTTATCGAGTTTTTTCCTCTAAGTTTTTGAACTTCTTTCTTTTACAAAAAATTCTGGTTGTGCTGATCTCAAGTGAAAACTTTAAGATTTAGCTCCTCGCGTATGCAGCAGATTTCTACCTGTGGTCTACAAATAGCAGCTTATAGCATTGTCAAAAAGGGAAAAGAGGGGGGGGGGGACAAGAGGGTTAATCTCCTTATCTCCTTTAAAAACTAAATAAAATTCTTATCTGTATACTATATAATTTGCTACTACGGTATGGCTTTGGTAAAAGTATTTTTTTTGCTACTGTGCGGGACGGTTTAGGTAAAAGATTTACTCTTGGTAATCTTTTTTTTTTCTAATTTCGTTTACATTAATATGTTACAGTACAATTATATATGTCATATATATCGTGTAACAATTTAAACAGTTACAACATTTATCAACATAATTAAAATAAGGCAAAAAAAAAACATAAATACATATATAAATATAAGCTCATATACATATGCAAAAGTTTAGATGCGCACATATATAAACTGCTAACAATGAAAAATAAGCTAGGATCTGAAAGAAGACCACAAGATCTTGTCTCAAAAATCTTATAAAGCACAAACAAGCAAATAAAAAACAAATATAACATTAAAATATGAAGTAAAAATTAAAAAAAAAATTATAATCCAAATTGTTAACCGTTTTAATAATATTAGAAGAATCGGAGTATATTATTAAGTAAACGAATACGTTTTTTTAGATTGTCCTTCAAAATGAAAAAAAAGTTGCCAGATTAGAGTTCCACAAATCAAAATTAATACTTAAGTGGGGTCCACGATAGGGAATGAAAAATTGATTAAATTTTGTGTGACAGGACAGCTCATTTAAAAATTTTCTCATAAAGTATTTGCTGTTAGATTTCAGTTTGAAAGTATTATTAAAAACTGTAGGGGATAGATTAATTCTCCATAAACTTTAAATACAATGAGTTCAAATAAATTTAATAATCTCATATCTTTAAAAAAAGGTTTTGTATGTAAAATCAGCGTGGCTTATTATGCGGATCGCATGTTTTTGACGAGGATAAAGATGTTTTAACTTACTTTTTACAGTACTTCTCCTGGGGTCAATGTTATAAAACTTTTTATCGGCGTAAAATGCTACCGGCGGAATTTTTACTATGGAATTTTTACAGCAGTAAATTTAGAGACGTAAAATGTTATTTCATTCAATGTTATAAAACTTTTACCGGCGTAAAATTTTGAAGATATCTATGCTCTGAATTTATTTTCGGAAATCTACTGTCTGAATCAATAACATAAAAGGTTGTCAAAAACAAAATGTTTTTGAGTTGAAAACATCAAAGCTAACAAAAATTAACAGTTTCTTATGGATTTGGACTGTTTCGATTCTGATGAAGAATATTTTGTTGCTTTATATTATTTGGCAAATCAGAGACAACCGCGTAAAACTGTTCAAACAGTATTTAAACTGTTAAGAATACAATTTAAAAGTAAAAAAACGGAATTGTCATAAATTTCTTACCCTAGCCTATAACAAAATATGTATAGCTTTTCTAGAAAAATAATTTTTTTTATACTATTTTTTATATATAGGTTTCTTTAGACCAGAGTTGTTAGTCCTTGGCCTTGACCTTGCCTTAAGACTAAGAACTAAGGCCCAAGGCCTTGAAACTTTTGGCCTTGGCTTTGAAGTTTTTGGCCTTGACTTTGATTGTTAAGGCCTTGGTCTTTATAATAAAAAACATAAAATTAAAGAATTGAAAGTTTTTTTTTTTTTTTTTTTTTTTTTTTTTTTACATAATTAAATAGGTAATTAATCAATCTTTATTTTGTAAAATTGTGTTGATATAAACATAGAAAATCTACACACATTTTATATTATACAATCTATACACATAGAAACACATATTATACAATCTATACACATAGAAAATCTATACACACAGAAAAAAATAGGAAAAATTGCATAAATAAATTAAATGTTAAATAATCAAAAGAATTATTCACTAACTCAAAAACTTATAACAAAAATTTATTTAGACACAAATAAACATTTGAACATAAAACTTTTTTTATTCTTTCTGATAAGAATTTTATCCGCAATTAGTTTTGATGTGCTTCCATACCATGAGAAACTTTGAAATCAAGTTGTACATAATGTCTAAACACTTTGTGAATAAGAAGAAAAATCTTTGATGTATTTTGTTATCTGACTTTATCAAAAATATTTGAGATCATACCATATTTGAACATCAAAGGTAATTTCAAGAACATTAATAATTCTGTTTATAGTTTGACCACTTGTATTACTATTTCAAACTTCCAATAAACTCTGCATAAATTTTAAATGGAGAAATTTTTTTTGCCTGTTCATTTTGAGTTTGTCTAAAACTAAAGTTGATCTGATTTTTTTTTGATTTGGATCAATAAATAGTCCTAATAAATCTAGCATAAGTGCATTTTTTTAATTAGTTCAATAACAAACGTTGGAAACACTTTAAATTCTTTTTCAAGCGTTTTAAATTCCTGATAGTTTTCTTTCAGGCTCCAATGTCTAAAAGAAAATTTGTAATGTTACTCTAAAAAATTAAATTTGTTTATAACTTTCATTCATAAAAACTTATATACATATATATGTATATATATATATATATATATATATATATATATATATATATATATATATATATATATATATATATATATATATATATAAGTAAAAACACCTATCTAGTTTTATTTCTTAACAACATGTTTTTCCATCAGTAGGTTTATGAGGAAGGTTTATCAGTAGGTTCAATAGTTGATCAGGCTTCCTGATAAACCTATTGATGGAGAAATAAGCTTTCGAAGATAAAAATTAGAAAAGTGTTGTTACTAATTTATTATTGCTCTGTTCTTTAAGAACATTGAGCACTATATATATATATATATATATATATATATATATATATATATATATATATATATATATATATATATATATATATATATAAATGTATAAAATTGCTTTCGCCTCATTGTTTTTCATTAACTTTCAAATTTTCAGTGATCAAAATAAATCAAAGCAAATATATTCTGAATAAAGTTGAAACATCAAGGTTATTTACAAATAGTAATAAGTAGAATATGAAATAAATACCTGTATAATTCAATACTAATAAAATGATGCTAATATTATTAGCATCATTATATTATTATTGAATTATTATAAATAATAATTATAATGCAAGTAGGAGTAAATAAAAATAATAGTTGTAATAACAGCAATTAAAAGTAATAATAAAGATTATAAAAAGTATACACTATGCTATTTTAATAATAATAATAACAAAAATAACAGTAAAAATAACAACAACAATAATAATAACAATAAAAACAACAACAGTAGTATAACAAAAACAGTAATATATAAAAAAAAAAAATTATGACAATATTAACAACAGTAAGAATCATAATATTTATTATGATAAAACTATAGTAATAATAATATTAACAATTATAGTGATAAAGAGAAAATACTTCAGCTTAAGAAAGATTAAAATATTAAATAACTGGTTATTTATACTTTATAACTTTAACTGTTTTTTAGAAAAAATTGCTTATAAACATTAAACTTTTCTTTAACTTATTATTTATAACCCTAACTCTGAGCTTCTATTTATCTAATTTTTTTAATTTTTTCTGTTGTGTTTTAATATTTTTTGTTAAATTTAATAAGTTTAACAAAAAATATTAAACCACAACAGAAAAGAAAAAAATTAGATAAATAAAAGCTCAGAACTAGGGTTATAAGTAATAAGTTGAATAAAAGTATAAAATTTATAAGCAATGTTTTTCTAAAAAGTAGTTAATGAGGGCAGTTTTAAATTTTGAAAATGACTTACAATGATCTTACAAAAACTTCCGTAGGTCGCTCCTCCGGAACATTTATCGCCTGTAAACGTTTCGGCTGAAGAAATTTATCGACGGTAACTTAGAAAAAAATTTTATAACATTGAAACAAATCATTTACGCCGATAAAATTTACAGCCGGTAGCATTTTACGCCGATAAAAAGTTTTATAACATTGACCCCTGGCAGTGTTAGTTTAAGTTATGTCGCTGTGGATAAAAGAGTAATAGATATGGCTTAAGCCGTTTTTATAAAGGTAGTAACAAGTTTTATATGGAATCTCAATGTTTTTTAAAATTTTAGTAAATACTTAATTTGTATGTTAATTCCAGGGGTCAATGTTATAAAACTTTTTATCGGCGTAAAATGCTACCGGCGGAATTTTTACTATGGAATTTTTACCGCCGTAAATTTAGAGACGTAAAATGTTTTTTCATTCAATGTTATAAAACTTTTACCGGCGTAAAATTTTGCAGATATTTATGCTCTGAATTTATTTTCGGAAATCTACTGTCCGAATCAATAACATAAAAGGTTGTCAAAAACAAAATGTTTTTGAGTTGAAAACATCAAAGTTAACAAAATTAACAGTTTCTTATGGGTTTGGACTTGGACTGTTCCGATTCTGATGAAAAATATTTTGTTACTTTAGAATATTTGGCAAATCAGAGACAACCACGAGAAGTAAAACTGTTCAAACAGTATTTAAACTGTTAAGAATACAATTTAAAAGTAAAAAAATGGAATTGTCATTAATTTTTTATATAGAGGTTTCTTTAGACCAGAGTTGTTAGTCCTAGGCCTTGACCTTGATTTAAGACCAAAAACAAATATCTTGGATTTGAAACTTTTGGCCTTGGCCTTGAAGTTTTTGGCTTTGACCTTGATCGTTTTGGCCTTGTTCTTTATAGCAAAATACATAAAATTAAAGATTTAGAAGTTTTTATTCTTTTTTTACGTAATTAATTAGGTAATTATTTATTCTTTATTTTGTAAAATTGTGTTGGTATAAATATAGAAAATTAATACACATTTTTTATTATACAATATATACACATAGAAACACATATTATACAATCTATACACATAGAAAATCTATACAAACAGAAAAAATAGGAAAAATTGCATAAACAAACTTTAAAAGAAAACGACTTTAAATATTAAATAACTAAAAGAATTATTCACTAACTCAAATTCTTATAACAAAAATTTACTTAGACACAAATAAACATTTGAACATAAAGCTTTTTTTCTTCTTTCTGATAAGAATTTTATCCACAATAAGTTTTGATGTGATTCCATACCACACACAATCTGAGAAACTTTGGAAACAAGTTTTACATAATGTCTAAAAACTTTCTGAATTAGAAGAAAAATCTTTGTATTTTGTTATCTGACTTTATCAAAAATATTTGAGCTCGTACCATATTTGAGCAACTAAGGTAATTTCTAGAACTTTAATAATTCTGTTTATAGTTTGACAACTTGTTTTACCATTTCGAATTTCAAATAACCTCTGCATAAATTTTAAATGGAGAAATTTCTTTTGTCTGTCCATTTTGAGTTTGTCTAAAACAAAAATTGATCTGATTTTTGGATTAATAAATAGTCCTAATAAATCTAGCATAAGTGTATTTTTCTAATTAGCTCAATAACAAACTTTGGAAATTTTTAAACACTTTAAATTCCTGATGGTTTTCTTTCAGGCTCCAATGCCTAAAAGAAAATTTGTAAAATTATTCTAAAAAGTTAAATTTGTTTATTAACTTTCATTCATGAAAACCTATATACATATATATATATATATATATATATATATATATATATATATATATATATATATATATATATATATATATATATATATATATATATATATATATATACATATATATACATATATATATATATATATATATATATATATATACATATATATATATATATATATATATATATATATATATATATATATATATATATATATATATATATATATATATATATATATATATATATATACATATATATATATATATAGAATATATATATATATATAGAATATATATATATATATATATATATATATATATACATATATATATATATATATATATATATATATATATATATATATATATATATATATATATATATATATATATATATATATATATAGAATATATATATATGTATAGAATATATATATATATATATATATATATATATATATATATATATATATACATATATATATATATATATATATATATATATATATATATATATATATATATATATATATATATATATATATATATATATATATATATATATATATATATATATATATATATATATATATATATATATATATATATATATATATATATATATATATATATATATATATAGAATATATATATATATAGAATATATATATATATAGAATATATATATATATATATATATATATATATATATATACATATATATATATATATATATATATATATATATATATATATATATATATATATATATATATATATATATATATATAGAATAAAACTAGATTAGTAAAAATATTTATCAAGTTTTATTCTTTAACAACGCGTTTCACCATCAGTAGGTTCATAAGGAAGGTTCAATAGTTGATCAGGCTTCCTGATAAACCTACTGATGGAGAAACAAGCTCTCAAAGATAAAATTATATTAGTGTTTTTACTAATTTATTACTGTTATATACTGTATTAAATTATATAGTCTTTAAGAACATTGAGCACTCTCTCTGCATATATTTCTCTCTCTCTTTATATATATATATATATATATATATATATATATATATATATATATATATATATATATATATATATATATATATATATATATATATATATATATATATATATATATATATATATATATATTATATAAATGTTTAAAATTGCTTTTGCCTCATTGCTTTTTAATAACTTTCAAAGTTTCAGTGATCAAAATAAGTCAAATGAAATATATTCTGAATAAAGTTATTTACAAATTGTAATATGAAATAAACACCTGTAAAATTTAATACTAATAAAATGATGCTAATATTATTAGCATCATTTTATTATTAAGTAAAGTATTATTAGTAATAATTATAATGCAAGTAGGTGTAAATAAAAATAATAGTTGTAATAACAGCGATTAAAAGTAACAATAAAGATTATAAAAAGTATACACTATACTATTTTAATAATAATAATAACAAAAATAACAGTAAAAATAACAACAACAATAATAAAAACAATGACAACAGTAATATAACAAAAACAGTAATATAAAAAAAAATTATGACTATATTAACAACAGTAAGAATCATAATATTTATTATGATAAAACTATAGTAATAATAATATTAACAATTATAGTGATAAAGAGAAAATACTTCAGCTTAAGAAAGATTAAAATAATAAATAAATGGTTATTTATACTTTATAACTTTAACTATTTTTTAGAAAAAATTGCTTATAAATGTTAAACTTTAACTTATTATTTATAACCCTAACTCTGAGCTTCTATTTATCTAATTTTTTTAATTTTTTCTGTTGTGTTTTAATATTTTTTGTTAAATTTAATAAGTTTAACAAAAAATATTAAATCACAACAGAAAAGTAAAAAATTAGATCAACAAAAGCTCAGAATTAGGGTTATAAATAATAATTTGAATGAAAGTGTAAAGTTTATAAGCAATGTTTTTCTAAAAAGTAGTTGATGAGAGCAGTTTTAAATTTTTAGAATGACTTACATTTCTTACATGACAAATTCAGTAAAAAAAAATTAACGAAGAAATCGCTTGAAATTAAAATTTACCAAGAAATGTGCAATTAATTAAAATGAATGAATTTCTGATAAGTTTTCAACTCAAGGTAAGTACTTTGAAAGGTTTTTTTTTTTTTTTTTTTTTTTTTTAGTATTGCATTTGCCGATTGAAAATAATTTACACTCGTAATTTATAAAAACAAATATTTACATGACTGGGGCTTGAAGAAGACAAAATTCATCTTATCATTGAGCCCCCCCCAAAAAATGCATATTCATCAAATAAAATATTTTAACAAAATGTAAAAAATAAAATATATAACGTTTAAAATATTTAGTAACTCAAAGAGTATTTATATTTAAGAACTGATTAGTAAAATAAGATGATATATAAGTATTAATATTACAAAAAGAATTTACAGTAACTTTTTTTAATAAAAATTGAAATTATAAAATTTTACAATATTTTTAGTAATTAGTATTTCAAATAATAAAACTTCGTAAATAATAAAAATCGTTTGTAAATTCAAAACTTATAAGATAAGAAATACATTTACAATAGCAGACTATTGTTTAGAATATTAAATATAATATTAAAGAGTAATTAGTAGGTTAATTTTTGTTTTTGTTTGCTAGTTTAAAAAGCTTTTTAGAAGAACTTTAATTCATTTTCATGTATCATCAGTAATTGCTTAAGTTTTGTTTTAAACTGGTTTAAAGAATAATTAGATTTCAGCTCATTATTTAATATTGTATTCCACAGCTTAGGACCTCGATTTGCAATTGAGAATTTGGTTGCTGAATAATGTGTTTTGGATTGAATGTAATTGTTTTTTGAAAATCTGGTAGGGTATACGTGGTTTATTTTTTCAAAAAGTGAATTAAATAACATTGGTGATATTTTTTTATCAAGTTTAAACATGAAGATAAGAATATGGTAAAGGTTTAGTTTATATACATTTAGAATATTAAGTTTATTAAATAATGTTTTAGTGTGAGAGAAACGGTCTACGTTTGTAATTATCCTTATAGCCTGTTTTTGTTTACTAAACAGTTTTTTTACTTTTGTTGCGTTTGTGCTGCACCAAGCAACGTTTGCATAATTTAAGTAGCAATGAATTAAAGAAAAATATAAGTTTTTTAAACAAGATAGATTTAAAAACTGCTTGGCTTTATACAAAACACCTATATTTTTTGATATTTTATTTTCAATTAGACCTATGTGGTCCCTCCAGGTTAAATTTTCATCCAGAACCACACCTAAAAACTTTATTGATTGCTCTCTTTTTAATAATGCGTTATCAATAAAAAGATCAGGAAGTTTTAATGGAATATCTTGTTTTTTATGAAGACGATGGAACAAAGTGTATTTGGATTTATTGATGTTCAAAGATAGTTTGTTTGATTTGAACCATTGGGTTAATTTTTCAAGTTCTTTGTTTACTGTTTGAAATAATTTACTGATATCTTTACTAGAATAAAACAAGTTTGTATCATCTGCAAACAAAATTAAGTTTAAAATATTAGAAAATTTATATAAGTCATTAATATAAACGAGAAATAAAAGTGGTCCTAAAATTGATCCTTGAGGAACACCACAGGTGATTGAATTATATTCCGTTTTTCCGCTATCATATGAAATAAACTGCTTTCTATTAGTCAAGTAACTATCAAACCAGGACAAATTAGTATTTATTATACCATAACTTTTCAGTTTGGATAGAAGGATTTGATGATTGACAGTGTCAAAAGCTTTACTTAAATCGATAAATACACCTAGGGTATACTTGTCTTCATCAAACCCTTTAAATATATCATGAACAAGGTGAGTGATTGCATGATCAGTTGAATGACCAGATTTAAATCCAAACTGTTTATGATAAAGAATATTATTAACATTTAAAAAGGAATATAGTCTATTATACATAACCCGCTCTAATATTTTAGAAAAACGAGAAAGAATTGAGATTGGTCTATAATTCGTAACATCGGAAGGATCACCTGATTTTAACACTGGAATTACTTTTGCAATTTTTAGGTTATCTGGAAAAACGCCTTGTTTTAGAGATAAATTAAAAATATGTAGTAATGGAATTGTAATTTGTTTTATTGATTTGATAATGACATTACTACTTATATCATCAAATCCTAAACTTTTATAGGGTTTTAATAAAGAGACTGCGTCTAGTAATTCTTTTTCTGTAAGTTTATAATTAGACATAACATTAAGGTTGGTTGAGGTTAAGTACGAACTAAAGTGTGATTGAGTAGTTGCTATATTAGATGATAAAGTAGGACCTATATTTACAAAAAACTGGTTAAGTGTTTCAGCGACTAAGGATTTATTTACAATTTGTTTGTTATTAAATTTAAGATTTAGAGGAAGTAAATTTCTGGATAAGCTTTTTTTTCCAATTACCTCCTTAATAATATGCCAAGTTTTTTTAGAATCATTTTTGTGCTTTATTAATTGTTCAGAATAGTAACGTTTCTTTGAGCGTTTTAAGATTGACTCAAATAGCCGTTTCTAAACCACAGGTTTCTTTAACTAAATATTCATATCTCTGGATCTTCAACAAAAATTTCCGTAGGTCGCTCCTCCGGAACATTTATCGCCTGTAAACGTTTCAGCTGTAGAAATTTATCGACGTTAATTTTGAAAAAATTTTTATAACATTGAAACAAATCATTTACGCCGATAAAATTTACAGCCGGTGCCATTTTACGCCGATAAAATGTTTTATAACATTGACCCCAGGAGATATTTTTATTGAGATAAACGCCTAAGAATTTTACAACGGAATTATTTTTTACTTCAATTTCGTCAATTATGGCAAGTTTGGTATCTTAAAAACTGATTTATCTGATCATTTTTTTATATTCCTGATTATAATCTCAAATTTAGAAGAAAAAAAAATTAAATCCCGGCAAGTGTTACTGTTTTTTAATATTTAACATACAACTTCTGTTTCATTTTTGATTTTTTTAATCCTTTTGTGACCCAGGGACCTTTTGAGCTTTTGTTTAAGCTTTTTTTTTTTTGGAAAATTAGCGTTGTAAAAAAAAAAATGATTTGTTGAGGCTTTGTAAAAAAAAGCAAAGTTGTGAAGTGATGTCTTCAAATTGTCATCATTTTTAGATACTCAGTAGAAAGCAATGAAATTAGGCCACTGGGTAATTTTTGGGTCCCAAATTTTGGCCAATTTTGTAAAAACATTTGTGCATTGGGTGCAATTACTACTTTGAGGGGCAATTTTAACAAGATGAATTTTAGAGTCATATTTCTTTTTCTATTTTTTAATCTACTCCGGGTAGATTTCTATAGTAGAAGTAAAAAATGAACTCGTTTACACTTTTCGTTATCTACAAATCTTGACTCGAAATTACATTAATTTAATCTTTATACTTTTAGCAGTATACAGTTAATATACAGTGCCAAATTATTAAGGACACTTTAATTTTTATGTAATTTTAAAGTTTAAGCAAATTAATTGTTTTCAAATAATTTTTTTTGTGTTTTTTAGTTATTAACTAATATAATTATATTGTTTTTAAGCTGCGGCAATTGTGTCAGTCCACCATATATCAATTGTGTCAGTCCACCATATATCAGTTGTGTCAGTCCACCATATATCAATTGTGTCAGTTCACCATATATCAATTGTGTCAGTCCACCATATATCAATTGTGTCAGTCCACCATATATCAATTGTGTCAGTCCACCATATATCAATTGTGTCAGTCCACCATATATCAATTGTGTCAGTCCACCATATATCAATTGTGTCAGTCCACCATATATCAGTTGCGTCAGTCCACCATATATCAATTGTGTCAGTTCACCATATATCAATTGTGTCAGTCCACCATATATCAATTGTGTCAGTCCACCATATATCAATTGTGTCAGTCCACCATATATCAATTGTGTCAGTCCACCATATATCAATTGTGTCAGTCCACCATATATCAATTGTGTCAGTCCACCATATATCAATTGTGTCAGTCCACCATATATCAATTGTGTCAGTCCACCATATATCAGTTGCGTCAGTCCACCATATATCAATTGTGTCAGTTCACCATATATCAATTGTGTCAGTCCACCATATATCAATTGTGTCAGTCCACCATATATCAATTGTGTCAGTCCACCATATATCAATTGTGTCAGTCCACCATATATTAATTGTGTCAGTCCACCATATATCAATTGTGTCAGTCCACCATATATCAATTGTGTCAGTTCACCATATATCAATTGTGTCAGTCCACCATATATCAATTGTGTCAGTCCACCATATATCAATTGTGTCAGTCCACCATATATCAATTGTGTCAGTCCACCATATATCAATTGTGTCAGTCCACCATATATGTCAAAAAGTAAGGTTATTACTCAGTTAGCTGTCAATTGTTGAAAAGTATGGTTAGAGTAAGTTCAAAATTAAAGAAAAATTAGATTTCAATTATTTATTTTTGGAAAAATTTTTTGCAAGTTTTTCTAGTTCAGAACTATTGAAACCTAAGTATCGGTTAATATTTCAATTAGTTATAGTAAATATTTTATTATTTTTGCTAATTTTAATACATAAATCCTGACTTGTAACCTTCTCTCCTCTCATTGATTTTTTTTAGTATGGCCAAGTCTCCAGACTTAACCTCAAGAAAAAGTAGGGAAGTAAAAACCTTACTTCTTCATTCGACACATTCTCATAGAGAGATAGCAGTAATTGCAAGTGTTTCAAAGTCAGTTGTGAGCCAAATTAAAAGAAAAATTGATACAAATGTGTTGGCAAAAGTGGCAGAAAAATGGTCACTACTCCACGTTGTGACCGTAAAATTAGAGACATCTGTCTTAAAAACAGAAAAAAAAATGTGGCTTAACAAGCAACAATGATAAACAATGAAGAAATTTACGTCTCCAAAAGGACGGTTTAGAGAAGGTTGGCTGAAGAGAGTTTAATGGGTCATCGTCCAACTAAAAAACCACGTTTAACTGAATAAAAAAAAGCGATTGAAATGGGCTAGAAAACACCAGCATATGACTATTGAAGACTGGAGAAGAGCAAATATAGTTTATAATATTGTAAGAAACCAGAAAAATTTAAAGCTGATAACTTTAAAATATCTTTCAAATGTTTTATAGATCTGCTTCTCGGACGAATCAACATTTCAAATTTTGATGGACAATAGCTCATTTGTTCGACGACGCCCAGGAGAAAAATTCCACCAGGACTGCCTTTTGGAAAAGGTTAAACATCCTGTGAGTGTAATGGTGTAATCTCACCCAAGGGTATGGGCTGCCTTTACATTGTGGAAGGGACCATGAGGCAGGACCAGTACGAGCTAGTACTGGAAAATAGGCTCCTGCCCAGGTCCAAGAATGGTTCCCTGGTAATGAAAAATATATTTTCATGCATGACTCAGCTAGAAATGCTGTATCACTTCTAGCTTTATGACCGCGTCATAAAGCTAGAAGTGTTACAGCATTCCGAACTGAAAAAAAGTGCGTGTTTTGCCATGGCCAGGGAATTCGCCTTATATGAACCTCATAGAAAAACTATGGAAGTTCACAAAACGGGAAATTGCCAAAGAAATCATCACTAACAAGCAGCAATTGATAGAAACCCGTATAAAAAAGTAGCATAGCAACCCCAGTCTTCAACACAATGCATAATTTTGCATAGAAAGTATGCCCCGATGCCTTAAAGTTGTTATTGTAGCAAAGGTTGAAAGTTGTTATTGTAGCAAAGGGTGAAAGTTGTTATTGTAACAAAGGTTGGCATTTGTTATTGTAGCAAAGGTTGGCATTTCAAAATATTAAGATTATTATCCTATTTATTATGTTAAAACTTTTTATAAAAAAATAAATAGCTATGAATAAATAATTACGTTATTTTATATTCTAAATAAAAGCTCTCTAATAATTTAAAAAATTAACTACAAGATATGTATTTATTCATTAAAGTAGTTTATACTTTAAAAGTAAAGGTAAGATTATTATTGCAAATATTTACTAGAGTTGGTTGAATGTGTAAAATTTAATCAAGTATATATTTTTAATTATTTAAATGTTAGACTGCTTAAATCTTAATATTTTAATTTTTTTATATTTGATATAATTATTTTTATATAACTTTATATAATTTTATATAATATTATATAATTTTATATAATTTTACATAATTTTATATAACTTTATATAATTTTATATAATTTTATATCATTTTATATCATTTTATATCATTTTATATCATTTTATATCATTTTATATCATTTTATATCATTTTATATCATTTTATATCATTTTATATCATTTTATATCATTTTATATCATTTTATATCATTTTATATCATTTTATATCATTTTATATCATTTTATATCATTTTATATCATTTTATATCATTTTATATCATTTTATATCATTTTATATCATTTTATATCATTTTATATCATTTTATATCATTTTATATCATTTTATATCATTTTATATCATTTTATATCATTTTATATCATTTTATATCATTTTATATCATTTTATATTATTTTATATCATTTTATATCATTTTATATCATTTTATATCATTTTATATCATTTTATATCATTTTATATCATTTTATATCATTTTATATCATTTTATATCATTTTATATCATTTTATATCATTTTATATCATTTTATATCATTTTATATCATTTTATATCATTTTATATTATTTTATATCATTTTATATCATTTTATATCATTTTATATCATTTTATATCATTTTATATCATTTTATATCATTTTATATCATTTTATATAATTGTATTTAAAATATTAAACAATTATTTAAAATTTTTTGACGTTTTGGAGAGCCCGAAACCTACACTAACGCCACTCGTCAGGGGCGTGTCCTTGCTACAGATCTCACCGCCTGCACTCTACATCATGCTAGTCAATATTGCAATATAATAGGACTACACTACACAAGCCAAAAAACCCTATCCCTATCCCACAGCTCCAACATTTTTAGAGATCTCGTGAGGTGGTGAGGGATGCGCGTGGTGTGACCATAAACAGATATGTAAACACATATAAATATAAGGTACCCTTCCATTAGAAGAAACAAACTTGTACACATGTACGTATACGCGTGTATAAATAAACAATTATAATGTGTAAAAATAACACAAAGCGAATAGAAAATAGTAATTAATAATTAATTGAAACTTACCGTTTCTTTTATGGCTGAAATATGTATTATAAATATAATAAGTAAATACCACTCATAAGCATTGATACTAAGTTAAGATGTTTTGTGGTTAGTACGAAAGTAGTTAAATGAAAGTATGATAAAAAATGTGATAACTCCAATAGTATATTCTCATATAAATCTTGCCTGGTACGTAGAGACAATAGCTACCACACAAAACAGACTCAGAGTAATTAAACAACAATTAGCCATAGATAAAAAAAATATACAAACATTAAATCAGTAGGCAGAAAATAACGAGGAAGTAAAAAGACAAGACAGTATATGGGATTTTTAACTAATAGCTTGTAACCACTAAAAAATGTAACATTAAAAACAATACTGTTGACAAAACGACCAAAGGAACGTTAGTGAAGACTGTATAGTGCAAACCACAACAAACTAACTTAGCGACGTCAGATTGAGAAAATTGCGCTGTTATGCGCAAAAATTTTACGCAAAAGTACGTATTGGCAAATCTGAATAAATAAATCTGAATAAATATACAAGGATAAGGTAAAAAAAGATTATGAACAAAAGTATATAATAAAGAACAAATATTTGATATACTGATTTTAGAGGATGTTGATGTCTACAGGTGTGATAGTGTAGTGCATTAGTATGTACCGTTTGGTCGTCTAGTATGGTCTTGTTATGTTTTCGTTCACTTTCAAATCGGGCGAATAGAAAGCTAAACACACTCCTCGCGCTTATGGGCTAGCACATCAGAGCCAGACGTAAGACCTACAGAATGGATTTCAATTGATCGAATGCACACATTAGTCACCGTAGGCCACAAGCCATCACTCTTAGCCAAAAGAGCTACTGACCCGTGCTGGTGTCGAATGATGTGCTATGAAGTGAGATTTCAGATCCGAGAACATAGTCAGCAAACGCTGATCCAACGTGCATTGTGGAGCTTCCGACTGAACGTGTGCGTCAGTCATTAGGTTATTGAGCGCCTTAACCACATCGAGCGGGATACCCTAATGTCCGTTTTGTCATTGTGGTGTACATTGGAAAAAGTCGGAGCTCACTAGCCACAAAGAATAAATTTTTTTGCTTATGCGACACAATGATCGCAAAAAGTGACCAACGGAGCCGTCCAGTTACGTAAACCTGGGAAATGCGAAAATAAAAACAGATTGAAGAAGATGTCATTTAGGTAAAAAAATATAAATTAATGTAAAAACTATTTAGTAGGAGGAGTAAAAGTTAGCAACTCAGGAGAAGAGGAATAAAAACTCACACTCTAGTCATCTTTTAGCAAATGATGAAACAATGATCTATGATTAAACAAGTCAATAAAAATCCGCTGGTTTATAATGGTATTCATAACTAAAATAATCGCACCATACAAATGTTTAATAAATGTAGTACTGTATTATGTTCTAAACTCTAGAGATAAAATTGAGAATTGATAATCACCTGTGTTACATAAAAATATATAAATGTCGTTAATGTAACAAATTCATAATAAAAAGCTCACAAAGCGCAAAAATACGTGAGTGTAAGAGGTAAAAAAATGTTGGTGCCATAATAACCAATTAGAATTAAGTAGTGGATAAATGGTGATCCCCCTCCTCAAGAATGCACTGCGATCACTAATGACGTTTCGGAGAACCCGAGACTAATAATTTTACTTTTAAAGTATAAACTAATAGTTTGGCAACTCACTGTATAAAAAAACTATACAATATATAATAAAATTTTATGATACAATGTGTTTATTTATATTATAAATTTTTTCTTTCAAATATTGTAATACATATTTTTGAAAAAAGGCTCTGGCGATAAGATCATTAGGATCTTCTATCAGATACCTTTGTTTGTATTTAGTTTGATTTTTTTTTTATCTAGACTTTGAATATACGAGTCTAACGATTTAATGTGTTTTAAAGGATTTTGTTATCTAATACGAACATTATTATATTAAAAAATATTAAAATAAGTGATGGCTAAAAACAGGCCTCGAGCGCCCTAAATTTACTAGTAGCCTAATTAGAGAACCAAACTTTCTCTCTGCAGACTCATAAGCAGCCTTTGTTTCAAACATATTTTCAACTTAGGAATAGATGTATAATTCTGAATTTCTCACTGGTACTTAAAACCACTTCATTCTCTGTATACTCACTAACTCCTACTTTGCACATTATCTTGCTTGTACTGCTTAGAAATAATGT